CCGATTGTTCAGTCTGATTTACTTGCAAACCAAGTTTCAGCAGGCATGCTTTGAGAAAGTCTATTCGGAGATTGTCATCTTGCTCCAAAACCTCTACGACTTTCGCAAATTCTGGTCCTTTACCTTGAGGATTGAGGTTTGCGGCAGCGAATCTGGATAGATTAGTGTATGCCTTGTGTGACTTATGTAGAAACGCTTACTCGGGATGAGGACTCGTTAGTATGGCATTACCTTCGCCAACTTTACAATATACAACAGCAGCAGCTTCTGCTCCGCTTTTAACATGAACTTTCTCAGAGTAGCTCGCCAATATCTCAACTCCACGATCTCGATATTTCTCAGCATCTACAAACACACCTCCGCCATTGAAGTATGACCAAAAAGAGTCGGGAGTATTGCCACCAGAAATTGCAAAGGCGGATTTGTTGACTTTAATTTCCGCAGCTCGGGCACCATTCTCGCTGTGGTATACAAATCCTGGGAAGGCAAGGCCACGGCAGGTTCCTGGGAAGAATCCCAACTCTCTGTCTCCTACAACCTCCATCTTTTGATCGCCAACCATGAATTCACATCGTTTGCAGGCATAGTAGCCCCCAGCGCATAGTCCTAGAAAAGCACCACCAAGGTGAACATATTGCATGATCTTTCTATTCCCTGCACCGTTCAGAGTTCTGCAATAGGGTAGATCAGCGCCCCCGGGGAATACAAGCAGCGCGCAAGTGCTACTCCATGGTTCTTTGATAATGGCGTCCCCATTGACAGGTATAACGGCATAATTTGGGGATAAAAGTCGTCTCAAAGAGTAGAGACAATGTCGTACTGACTCCACCGTACTGCCCGGCCCTGATCTGTTCTTTAGCTATTATGTTTCGCTTTGCTTCACGAGACTGACCGGAATAAACCAAAACATTAACCCGCTTATTTGATGCCATGATGGGAGTGGTAATGGAAGTAGTGTCGGTGCGGAATTATTTCCAGCAAGAGGGTTCAAATTTCTCAATCAACTCCTCCACGTACACAAAAACATCAAACCACGACTTCAAAGTCTAGTATTTGCGAGAATGGCGGATGGCAAAGTTGATAAAGGGAAGAGAGTAGAGATCGTTAATGATGATGAACCAGATGAGTGGTTTGTGGACCCCAGCCTCTCTTCGAAAGTCAACATTCGGCTCATCTCAGATTCACGCTTCAGGGACAAGAGAATATTTAGTACAGGTTGCGCTGGTAATTTAACGATCGATATTCTGACGCGAGATTCAGAGGCTAATGTCTCTTTTAGTGGAAAATGCCAAAATGACGGACTGCTATTATGAAAAGAAGGACTGGAGGGTGTGCAAGAAGGAGGTACGAATTAGTTAAAATCTGCTTTTCGTACGACAATGCTAATACCGTCTCAGATGGAGGCATTCAGGGAGTGCTGGAAGCGCAATGGTAATGTCCAGCGTACAGAGGAAAGGAGGATATGAAATGGAAGTGCAACCATGGAACAGCTTATCCAACAATATTTGATTTAATTGAAGTAAGTGCTTGCTCATCCAGCTCATTTGGATGGAAATCCAGATTCCATCTGCTTATCATTTTGCTCCCAATCTCACATGATTTGACAGCAGATCACTCCTCTTAGACTTCAGCGCTTCCTTCCAGGCCATATATTCTTCAATACCCAATACTATCCATTAGAGCGGTCGAAATTATGTCGAGATATTGACGAACTCATTCAGTATCTCCAGCCACAAACCCACCAGGATTGCGATCTATCCATCGAACGTTACCATATGTCCCATTCATAAACTGAAAAACTTTCTCCATTGTGGAGTAAGGTTCATACTCCGCATCACTTAACACCTTACCGGGCCCTTTCGATCGTCCTGCCTTATTGAAACCGGGTCCTGTATTCGCATACTCGGCCATAAAAGTCTTGCCGGAAATGTGCCCATCATTGCCAGACCATTTTATATAACCCTCCGTCCTTATCGAGTCATCCAAATGGGTCTTCGCGAATATGGAGCGATGCAGCGCATTCTGTTCGTTCTCGTTAGCAATGAGACTTATTTCTCGGTCGGATGTAGGCTAAATGTACCCAAGGCCTTCCCAAAGCACAACCTCCACTCTTCACACTGCCCGCTTTTTTGACTTGCGAATCGTGTACGTAGACACCATACTTGTTGGGGAAAGTCGTCTCTGTGCCTTTCCACGCCGTTATTCCTCCACCACAACCTCGCAGGCTCACAATGGCACTTTGAACCCAAGCCGTTCCAAATCCGTAGAAGAAATCCGTTTCTCCGGCTACTTCCCCGCCGTGGAAGAGCGCACTGCCTATCTTTCCAACGTACACTGTATCTTGGAAAGACTTGGTAGAGCAAAAATAGAATCCCGCGTTTGCATATGATATGGAAACGGCAAGAGATGGACCGGAGTGGCCCTCATTGGAGAAGTTTATGTTATAAGCGCGAAAATCGGTATTACCGAAGGGAGTCGCCTTCGACACGGCATGGCCGGTTGGACCAGCACCCGTCAAAGCTGCATCTAGGTTTGGAGCTACGGTCAATGTAGAGGTGAATGCATTGTCCCCTCCTTTGCCGCCACTCCCTTCTGAAGCTTTCCATATTATTGTTACCGTATTACTGGTGTGCGTATTGGGATTAGATGTCGAACCTAGGAGGGTGAGTGGGCCGGGGCGAGTGATGTTTACTTGTTCTCTGTATGTGCCAGGCTGAATAAGGATGGTATATGGCGTGTTGTCTTTGGGGATGGACTGAACGGCACTTTGGATCGTCTGGAATTTGCCAGTCCTGCCCACGATGACGGTATTCGGTGGGCAAACCTTAATAGGGTCTTCTTTGGACGATTTCTGGCATGATGCTCGGTCTACAGCTGAGGTGAGTACGGCGAACACAAGGAATAAAGTCGCTGAAAGCAGCCAACAAGGAAGCAGTAGGCTTTTCATGCTTATTACAGTCTAGGTAATTAGTGATTGAAATGATGACTGCCGTTACTCAAGAGAAGAAACATGTCGGGTAGAAAGAGAATAATTGTCTCTTTCGTGCCTGTAGAAGTCTCATCACCGCTCAGAAGGTTCCTGGCGCCAGATCGAGTTTGCTACATTCACTAATATTCATGCTAATCTATAGGTGAAGGGGTAGGTGGTCTGTGGGAAATATCAAGGGAGGTCCATGACGATAATCGGGGCAGGATTTCCACCAATTGATCAGTGTGGCCTTCTGCTGAAACTGACAAGGTGCATTTGGAGGAGTATCAGTGTCTACAGCTCATGTGGCATGATGGAACTTGCTGACAATAAGATGTAGATTTTTTGTAAGTGTACATACAGTCTACCGCGATACATCAATAGTGGCAGCAGTAACCTTATTATTTGCCCCATTCAGCAGCCCAGCGCCCACAATCAGTATATTCTTAGGATCAGTCATCACCATTAAACTCCTAGTATAAGATCTTTGCGCCCCGGTCGGAACCTTCTTCCACTCACTGCCCGGAGCACCAAGATTTCTATTTAGAAAAACCTCTGGGTGTCCCCCCGAGGAAACAACAATAGTGCCATTCGGTCCACCGGCAGGCGTCCAAACCACATACGGCGAACCACTTAGACCATTACCACCAGCAGGAGTTTTAAGCTGATGCGCCTGAGCCGACTGGAATTTCAATGGATCAGCAGAAAGTCGATAGTACACCGGACAGCCTCCTTGGGGTGCTCCGCAGTACTCGTATGTTAGCATATATTGTCCATTGGGTAAGTGGGCAATTGTCGTCATTCCTGGTCGGCCTTTGTAGTTCGAGTAGGATACATCGTCAACGGGGGGCTCCCATTTACGAAGGTCGTCTGAAATTTGGTGGTCTAATTTTTGGCCGTGCTTGCCGTCTCGTTGGTCGGAGTAGTAGTAGATTAGGCGTTCTTTGTACATCATAAGGAAGGGCTCCCATACTGGCGTTAAGCCGTTATCTGGTTTTGCGACACCACCTCTGGCGATGTGGGATACGAATTTCCATGTTCGTCTTATAAACATTAGCATGGTTTCGATTTATTCCCGAGTCACTGCATGGAAAAGCTTTGTATCATACCCTCTATCCTGACTAGCATAAAGTTCAAGTTGCGTCTTTGACAAATCGCTCGGAATGCTACTACCCGCACAAAGGATGGTCCCAGCAGGAAATCCACCATAATCAATTGGCAACTCGTAAAGAAAAGGTTGATACCTCAGTCCCCACCCGTTAACCTCATCTTTCACCCTCCCGATCTCAGACCACGTGCGTCCCTGGTCCGAAGATTGGTATATGGGAAAGTATGGCGGTTCAGGACCGTAGTTCTCCCACGTTGCTAGAATGACATTTTCCTTTGCAAGGAGTAGAGAACGAGCGTATAGCACCCGCGGGATCTTGTAGGATGAGGGTGGGGAGTATATTGTTACGTCTGAAAATGCGGTGACAAGGTGAGAGTAGAATAAACAAAGAGCAATAAGTGGTAAGATAAGGAACGTCATAGCCCGTGTGAGAAGGAATGAATGTGCGGTGAGAGATTATGAAACGCTCATGAGGACTGCGTATAAGTCTGTGGCATTTGTTTCTGCTCCCAACTCTAGAATTGTGGTATCCCAATGTCGAAAGCTTTTACCTGAGAGCCATTTTCATGTATAGCGCGGGCAATTAATATCGCAGATATTGCTCATCTTGGAAGAGGTACTTGGTTGTATCGTTAGCTATTTACTTTAGCTTTCAGATCCCCTCACAGGCCCCCAGAGAGATATGAGGATCCGCACAGTTCCTGATAATACTGGTATATCATTGTGGTCATTAAAGCATAAGTGTCCTGAGTTTCTATACGTCCATAGGGGGCTCCTTACGATTTTGAAAATCAGTTTTACACTCACCAATGAGCAGCTGTATCGGAACCCGCATCGAGCTAGACTTGAAACTAGCAACCAAATTTATTAAGTATATATGAATTCATTTTCGCCCGTTTCTGTTCCCAGCCATTCAATACAGCAGGCGGCGTGGCCTAATGGTAAGGCGTTGCTTTCCGGTGGCAAAGATTGTGGGTTCGAGTCCCATCGCCGTCGCTCTCGCACTTCTTTTTAGATGTTAACCTGGGCTGCAATCATCTTTTGCTCAATGCGGCAATACTTTGTGAATGGTGATTTGTGATTCACGAAGACACATCTACAAATGCATTGAGTTCACAGTAAGAAGATATTACCTGCACTTTATACACTTTTTAGAAATTGTGAGTTCACATACACTGAAAACTTCTCCATAATTCGGGTAGATTAGAATGTATTCACACAAAAGAAGAGGAGTATCTACAGCGGAACCAAAGTGCTTTGGTCCAGAGAATAAAACTAAACAACACAAGTATGATTCCAGCCGCACCAATTGCCCATATCCTCATGGGGAATATCCACAGCAAAGAGGCAGGAATGAATAAGAAGAATGCCAAGTCTCCTGCGGGAAGGAGGGAACGAAACACTATAATATGGAAAGCGGCCGCCCATACTTTTTGGTTTGTATGAATCGTTCGGTAAATTAGGGTTTCCCACCCAACCGGTTCGTAATAAGTTCATCAAGAAATTTATGGAAGAAGAGCCGAAGGCGAAGGAAGAAAGAATCAAGTACATGTTCCAGTACAACGAGAAAGGAAAGGCCGCATATCGCAGGATATAACCGCAGAAGTGGGACAAGGTACCCGTGTAGTCGTGGGAAGTGAGGCCATGGATCAGGATTATTGCATCCTCTTCCTCTTTCTACCCTCAGGGTCTTGGTCATCGTCGTCGCCAGCGCCGGCAGGGTTGAGCAGGGAGTGCACATTACTAGCCATAGAACTTCGTCTCGTTGGTGGTCCGGGAGTGTCGAGATTCTTGAAGGGGTATCTGGCACCAGGCAACTGCCATCCAGCATCTGGGGCAATGTTACCTTGGCCGGACGAGTCCACACTGACATGAGGAGGCGGAGGAGAGGGTTGACGAGAGCTTTGGCTGGGACCCCTGGGCAGCTCGTACTGCGCGAGAGCGTTGCGAATCTCTTGGTCACCTCCGAGGGGTGTCCGATGAGGAGAGCTGGGCCATTGGGTGCTGTTATGGCCCGACGCGTATGGAGAATGGGAAGGAGCAGGTGGCCCGCCCTGCCAGCCGTGCAATCGGATGTCTGCCGATGTGTGACGACGTGGTAGGTTAGTTGGTGGTGAACTCGCGTTCGCAAGCGGGTGTTGCATGGGAGGTGGTGGAGGAGGGGGCGGATTTAGTGCACGAGCAGAAGATGGAGAAAAACTGTTACTTCCGCTGCCAATAGAGCCGTAACGTCGAGGGGAAATGGCAAGATGAGGCGCGTGTGGCGCGCGGAATTGGGTTTGGCGTGGCTCGGTTAAAAGGGACGGCTGAGACGGTCTGCGCAGATCATTGATCGGCATTTGCCGAGGGGAGAGAGATGGTCCACTGTCATGCAATCCGGAGAAGTAATGCTGGCGGGATGAGCTAAGCGGGTCTGGTGGTTCGTCAAAGGACCGGAGCATATCCGTTTGTCTTGCGATCTCCCTTTGCATCATGGCCACTATAGTTTGTAAGCACAGGAAATGAGCACACAACGAATACAGGAGCATACCATCTTTATGAATCTGGTTTTCCGGATCGGGGACGATAGCCATCACATAGGTGGCAAGATCTTGGTTCCACTAGTATTTGTTAGCGATCTAGTACGGTATTTGGGAGCAAGTCCACTAACCTGGTGACATCGCAGCAGGCCTTCTGTTAAAAATGTGCATTTGGTGTTAAAGAAGGTGGATGTATCTTCGGACCGGGCGAGTCGAGCATGCATATCAAAGTAGTTGTGCTCAAGGATGTTGAGTCGAGCTTCGACGGGATCAGGCATGGGTTCCACAGGAGCCCCAGGTTGAGGTATACTTGGTTTGGGGCCCGCAGAAAATGAATCGCGGTGTATAAGCGCGTGACGTGAGGCTCGTCGTTTGATTTCCCTGAGTCCTACCAGGTCACCACGTTTGAAGTTCCCATTTCCATGGCGGAATTCCCAGAGGGGCGAATCGGGTTGTCCAGTATGAAAAACATCGCTGACTGTATAGAACACTTAGAGTCAAGCTTGCAGTGGACCCAGAGCAAAGTAAGCTTACCTTTGTGAAAGCCATACATATTCAATTGGCGAACAAAAGAGGATATATTGGTATGCTTAAAATATGAACTACAAACATTAGCGATTGGCACTTGGCCTATTCAGTCAGACATACGATAAGACTTTTGAAAATTCTGTTGAGGGAGACATGACAAAGCTCTCCTGCGTCTGCGACCAGGATATCAGATGTTGTATATTTGGGTCCTCGAGCATACTAGAAAGTCATTAGTTGCTGACTTCCATGTCGTTCAAGCGCTGCTCCACATACTTGTACAGTTTATGAATGAAAGCCGTCTGCACGACTTTCGGCTGCTGGGTAGCCGCAGCAGCTCCCACCGCTGGAGCACCATTCCCATTCGTGGTGGGTTCCGAGTCTCCATTTGCTGCTTGCACGCTGGCATGGCGTTCCGCAACTGGGCTGCTCAATGCGGGCGGTCCCATGGCGAGGAGGTGAGGGGCGGTCGGGGTGACTTCCATTGGGTCGCTGGAGGCAGATAGCGGCAAAGAAGATGAGGATGAGGATGATGGGAGTATGGGTATCGATTTGCGCGGAGCAAAATGGTCTGGGGAGAAGGAGGCGCGGTGGAAAGACTCTATCGCTGCCATGTGGACGAAGTTGAAGCCACCGAGCTCAAAGCTGCAGGTACGAGGCCGAAGCGCAAGTAAGTAGGGTTGAACTTGTATTATTCAACTGCCGGCCGTCGTATTGAAAGCCGATAGTCCAGTATTGAAGTTTTCGGATCTAGCATGAGAGGTATCTTGGAGTAGAATGCCTAGTTCCGAACAAGCAGCCAAACCATTGTAATTGCAGTAATAGCTCTGCGCATAACAAGAAGCCAAACAAAAAACAATAATCCAACCAAAATGGTCCAAGTTATCAATGATTTGAGTGATGTCGACGCTAGGTGAAGCTCCGGTTCCTGGCGAGTTCCTGGGAGAGACGGGAGGGCAAAGCTTTGCGCAGGAATGTCGTGCAGTCCTTATTCATGCATACGTGCGATGACAGGAACTAATATGTTGCGAATAAGACCGGATAAGGGTGTTATGGCAAGTACGGCTATAACTAGGCCAGATTACGGCTCTGCGCCAGGCATTGAAGTAGATTGGGCCTACGCGGTCTCGAAGGTGTCTGAAGATGTCCGAAGAGCAAGCAGGAGCAGCCGGCTCGACTTGCAGAAACTCCAGAAAATGAAAGAACAACGTCAACCATCAGCGACCTGTAAAAGCGACAGGCACGAAACGAAGAATCGGAAACAAAAGAAGGGCAAGGTTTGATGGTACTTTCGTGAAATACAAGATTCACAAGGATGAAGGTCAGGTCGCGGCAGATTGTAATAAAGTGTGGAGGTTCCCGATTTACACAGGAGAAGAGCGCGCGCAGGGCTAAGAACTAGAGATGCCGAGTTGAGTTTGGGGTCTTTGGGCTTGGCAACTACCGCGAATGCAGCTTATCAACTTTAAGGTTTTCGCTTGGGGGTCACAGACAGCGATGAGCGGAGAGCGGGAAGACGGTTCGATGTGTTCGAGGGGATGGGACTGCGCTTGCTTGCTCACTGGATCTGCTGACGAACATTCTTACTCACACACAACCGTACCTTACCCTCTCATTCGATGGAGAGTACGAAGTACGTCTAGGGAAATTTTACATTCGAGAAGCTCAGCTCCATGCTTAATAATTATCAATCAACCTGCATCCGTGGCTTATTCTCCCACCCGCTTTGTTCTCCAGTTACTCTATTTCCCCCTCGATACAAATAATGCACCACCACCCCTCCGCTCTCATTGAACCTCCCACGAATTCAGTCAGAGAGGCTTGGGTCTACTTACTGATCGGGTAATCAGCCCCGTGGCTTTTACTGTTACAACGGTTCATCCGTAGTACGTACTCGCATCTGTAAGTCACAAAGTCTAAAGACAAGTCATGGCTCGTGCTCAGTGATCGGCGGAATCGGGTGGGTTGCCCGCCACGCGAGTTCCCATTTGACAGGTACCTAAACCGCTATAAGCCCATGAACGCCAATTCTTATATCTCCATTACTCCACCTTGTACGGATACATAATTCCACTTTTATTGCTCTCCTTTTCCCTTTCCTCTTTGCTTTTGCTGCTGCCACGCTCTCTCTGTTGGTCCTCCGAGTATTCTAGCCCTCGTGGCCGCACCAGAGTGAGAATGTCACTTTTGACCCCGACGCTATTTGCGAATCTCAACAAATTTCGGATAGATTACGGTTCAGCGACTTTTTGGCGTCCCTCCCGTTAACTGTCAAACAGTGGCACCTCCACCGTACGAGCTACACAAATAGTAGCTCGAGCTGTGATTGAATTGTTATTACCCATTACCGAGTATTAAGGCACCTGACCCGGACACGTTCATAGTAGCGCTGAAAGTCTAGAGCGCGTGTTGAAAGATTGATAAATAAATAGCATTTGTACCATGCGCATAATTCATCATGAGATGTGGTTGGATGGAGACTTCCGTTCTCAGCGAACAGCATCGATTGCAAATTTGTTCGCATGTGCTATCGAAACAGAAGCCCAGGAATTTAAAAATGCATTGGTGATATGTCGAGATGATTGGATAATGGATATTCAAGCATTGCGAAGAGAGCACATTATTACAATCGTAATCCATTGCATAGCTTTCTCGTGTTCTAGTGTACCCCCTGTAGTAAACATATAAGATTAAAGAAACCTCAGTACCATCAAGATCCATTCTTAGAAGCCACAATATAGTCGGTCCAACGTCATCCTCGGAAGCTGTAGTGCGACGGTGATGAATTCCCAGTGACGGATAGATCGGGCCTTAGCACCCCCTGATTCATCATCGACGATTGACAGGTCGTGCTATCCAAGATCTTAGCTTCACTCCCATGGGTACGCCATGGCGGCCAAGCTTCACAAATGTTTCCGTCAATGACAATAACAATAGCAGCATAGCCAGCTC